ATATTTATATCTTTCATAATTATATCTTTACGTTCATAGTTATATCTTTACATTGTGATTTAAAATATACATAGGATGTCCCAAAAGATATACAGTTAAGTTTAAGATTTGTTAATGTTTTTTGTGAGTCAAAAAATGTCAATATAAACTTATCTTTGATTAGCAGAACTATTATATGGAGTTATTACAATACGATGAATCATGGAATTCCTAGCATTAATAAAACTGTTTTGAATGTCAGTAACATTGATAATCAAATATAAGTTTATTGACATTTTTTACTTAAAAACATGATTAACGAGCTCTTAAATTTATGACTTTTTGGAACACTTTGTATGTATACAGAATGTTCTGTACAGACATAAAATTATTTATGACAATTATAAACTTTAAAAATTTAATTTTTAATTACATTACATGTAAAGTTTATAATCACATCTTTGCATTGATTTAAATAACAATATATATAAAAATATATATTAATGTTTTCAAATCAGTTAAAAATATAAATGTAAATATTTAAGTTTATATTATGTGTAATTTTAGACCTCAATGTTAATAATATATAATTTTGTATGTATATGGCACATTCTATATTTATATGCTGCTAATTTATCAAAAATATGTATTTTTATGTGAAATTATTATTATATGTTACAGCGTTCGCACAAAAAGAACATTATTATCAACTTCATGATCTAATAGTTTCTGTGAAGTAAGAAAATTGTATACATATATAATATATATACATATATAGATGGGATATATGCAATATATGTATATTTAAAACGAGGAAATATAAAAACAAGGTGATATAAACTGCGGACTCAACAAATCACAACAAAAAGTAAGTTTTAATGATATTTTTTAGTGTAAGCAAACTAGCTGTTATTGCAATTATTTGTAAAAACGATTTAAAATTACTATAAGTCTTATTTAAATTCACTTTACGACACTAAATTATTTTATATTTTACAAAAATGTTTACGTATCAAAATATATATAATTATGTATATAATTAACTGAAAAGTACTAATTATATAATACTAATGTTAGAAGCAAAATAAATTTGAAACTAAAATTTCAAAAATTCAATTTTTATTTTTAATAAGATTTTCAAAAATAATGAGAAATAGTTTTCTGAAAATTTTAAAACTGTACATAATTTTTGGCTACAATATTAAAAGTTATAAAGTAGGTAAATGAATTGATTATTTTCTTATTTTTATTGTACTATTTATTATTTTATTTATGTATTATTTTATTATGTGTATGTGTATTTATATTTAAGTATGAAATATATTTATATAAGTATAAAATAAATAATAAAATAAATTTAATGAAATAAATAATAAAACAAATGAATAAATAAATAAATAAAACATAAAATATATATTTTTAAAAAATTAAAAATTATATTTCATTTAAATTGTAATCTTTAAAAATAATCGGAGATATTTCAGGTAAACAAAATATCTCATTTAAAAGGATACACTGGAATATCTGCTCAAAAAAACATTTTAGAGAAAAGGTTTTAGACAAAAGTTGTTTGGGGGACATATAAGATGGTGCCATTGATTTGATCTTAGATAATTATTTTGAAGGAGACAAAAAAATTTTCAATTTCTTAAATGGAATCTCTAATTTTTATAGCATATTCTTGCAGCTTATTTTGAAAATTCCCCAAAAACATTTTTATTAAGTTTATTTTTTATTAATTAAGTATTTTTGTTAAAGTTTACAATATTTTGACAAAATATAAAATATCTTGGGAAACTTTCAGTTTTCGATAGTCTTATATCTTAAATACTTTTATACACAGAATAATCAAATCAATATATTCATGTAAAAAAAACAGTTGCTTTTTTAAACAAGTAATTTGCAGCTGCGTACTTTTTCTTAAAAAGCAACTGTGTGTTTTCTTTACACCAATTGATTAGTCCTCTCATTATTCCATGCATAAAAGTATTAAGATTAGATTATTTAAATATTTAAGAATATTTTGCAAAATATTTTACATTTTATGTTAAAAAATTGTAGACTTCAAGCTTTATATAACTCAAAAAATACTTTAGTATTTTGGAAAGTTCTTAAGGTAAGCTACAAAAATATTCAGTAAAAAATATAATAGTAAAACCCATTTAAGAAATTGACCTTTATGTAACCTTCAAAGAATTATCCAAAGAATCAAATTTTGCTCACTATTTTATATCTCTCTTGAAGCCATACAATTTTTTTGTTTGAAATATTTTTCTCTAAAATACTTTCCCTTCAGATATTCCAATGTATTCTTTTAAATAGGACACCCTGTATAATTACAATTTTACCAATAATATTATATTTTGATAATTTTAACAGCAATATTTTATTTTATAATATCAATTTTATTAATATATATGTATATTATATATATATATATATATGTGTGTGTGTGTGTGTGTGTGTGTGTGTGTGTGTGTGTGTGTTGTGTGTGTATATATCGACGTAATAATTAAATATTAAATTATATATTATAGTTAATATATTTATCAGCTTCAATATGTTAACAGAAAAGAAAAAAAATGGATAAAAAGCGTTCAAGAAAAGACGCTGCATGTGTGTCAAAACGACATTTAAAAAGATTAGCCGTACAAGAATCCAAAATTGTTTACGATGCTTTATTAAATACGACTACAGTGTCATATAGTAACATTACTTATAAATACACAGAACATTTGGAAAACGTTTCTAAAGTAAATTCAGAAGTAAAAAACATTCAAGCTGCTGAAAATGCTGTAATCGAAAATTATAATGTTCACGAGTGGAACGAAAGTAGTAACAATGTATTGAACATGCAACAGTCCTCTGTTAGCGATTCTTATGAATCGCAAACTGATTTAGCATCTGAAGATGCAGATGTAACAGGTGACAATTTGAAAAATGATCTTGCTATCTGGGCTGTGCAACATCAAATTTCACATACGGCTTTAAAAGCATTACTTCAAAGATTAAAAAAACATTCATGTTTTTCATCATTATCTCTAGATGCACGTTCACTTTTGAAAACTCCGAGAAAACAAGATATACGTATAGTACAGCCAGGAATTTACTATCATTTTGGATTGCAAAAGTCTATGTTGAATATATTAACCTCCATGAAAAAACAATATTGGAAGCAGTATAAAAATTGCTATTAATGTCGATGGATTACCACTCTCAAAATCATCGCAACAACAATTTTGGCCCATACTTGGTTCAATTTTTCCATATAATAATGTATTTACAATAGGAATTTATCATGGAACTGAAAAACCTGCAAATGTTAATGATTTTTTAAGTGATTTTGTGAACGAGGCTGCAGAAATGTGTGAAAATGGAATATATATCAATAATCGTAATATACAATGCAGAATAGAAGCATTAATATGTGATACACCGGCAAAAGCATTTATGCTATGTGTAAAAGGGCATTCCGGATATTCAAGTTGCACTAAATGCACAACAGAAGGAGAATATGTCGGAAATCGTATATGCTTCCCACAAATTGATGCACCAATTAGATCAGATAATGATTTTATTAACAAAATTGATGACAGTTATCATAAACCAGATATAACATGCAGTCTACTCAAAATACCTCATTTCAAACCAGTTACAAATGTTCCCATGGATTATATCCTAGTGTGTTTGGGAATTATGCGGAAATTAATGTATTTATGGTTGAATGGAGAATTCTATTATCGGCTACAACATAGAGCCATTGAAGAAATATCAACACGTCTAACAATTCAATTAAAGCCATCGATACCTGTAGAATTCGTAAGAAAGCCACGGAAATTAGATTACATTAAATTATGGAAGCTACGGAATATAGACAAATATTGTTGTATACAGGTCCATTGGCTTTCAACTCAATATTGAAAAAAAGTGTGTACACCCATTTTATGACATTGCATGTTATTATTAGAGTCTTGTGTTCAAAAACTTTGTATGATGAACACTTATCGTATGCACAAGATATGATTCGTTTTTTTATCAAAACATTTATCAAGATTTATGGAGTACAAAACGTGTCGCATAATATTCATAGTCTCATACATCTTGTTGACGATGTAAAAAAATTTGGACCACTCGACAATTTTAGTGCGTTTAGATTTGAGAATCACATGCAAGTGTTTAAAAAATACCTCAGAAAAGCAGAAAAACCTTTGGAACAAGTAATACGAAGATGTATTGAAAAAGAAAATTTAAGTACATCAAATAGATTAAGTACATTGACTAATTTGTCAGATTCTATCCTGATATATCCCACTTTAATTACATTACATGATGATGGTCCACTTTTACTTGACTGCAATAATCCACAATATAAAATTATCAAATATGTCAACGGAATAACATTTAAAACTGGCTCACATGCAGATAATTGTTGTGGTTTAAATTGCGGTGCTATAGTATGTATTGAAAACGTGGCACACTGCAAAAAACAGAATATTCCAATTATTATTGGACGCGAATTTTTGGAAAAGGAAGATTTATTTAATATGCCTTGCTCATCATCATTGCTTGGGGTTTATTCCGTAAAATCATTATCAGATTTGAAATCATGGCCATTGAAAAATGTGATAAAAAAATATGTCAAATTACCATATGAAAATGTTAAATACGCAGTTTTTCCATTAATACACAATGAAGTAATTAATATTCATTGACACAGAAATGACTGATAAATTTTATGCAATCGTGGAATTCGAAGATGGACTACAAGTTATACCAAATAATTGGTTAAGTGGAGACTTAAAGAAAGCTTTTTGGCCAAATTTTACAAACAACAAGCGGTATGATAAAGCAGTTAAATTGAGGGAGGAGCCAGAATATACTTGGTTGGAGCATCCTATTCGAAAAATATATGGAACATTTCGTAAGTAATGTTATTTTTTTTGTATATATTATTCTGAAATATTCTTTTACAATAAATATACAGTGGTGACCAACTGTTTGAAATTGAAATTTATGAAATGTGAACCATTTATTTTTTTAAACAAGATTCCTTTAAAAAAATTAATGTCTCACATTTCATAAATTTCAATTTTTTATGTTAAAATCGTAATTACGATATATTAAATATAGCTGGCCGCCATTATATATATGTAGCTATTTTGTAATATAAGAAAATATAATTAAATTAAATTAAATTAAATTAATTAAATTAAATTTGTATTATTTACTAAGTTTTATTTAAAAATTTTTTTTCAGAAAACTATGGAGTGGCAAGGAAAAAGTTAAAAGATGCCGAAGAATTATCCGACATTAACTCTGGCCCTGATATAGAAGAAAATTTAAAAAGGTCGAGAAAAATTAGAGCCGCTAAAATTGTTGACGAAACAAGTAACGATACTGATGAATCATTAGACGAAATGATACAAGTCTCAGAAATTCCAAAGTTTCCAAACAAGCATTCGATGACTGCAGAAACCAGTAAAACATCAAAAATTACAGAAAATGCATCAAAAAGTAAGTACGATCTAATAATAATATAAAAATAACAATAATAGATTTAAATAGAGAAAATATTTTAATAATAGAACATCGTTTATGAATTACAGATGTTAATAATTTGGAAAGAAAATATACAGCAACACAAAGAAGCAACATAAAGAAGTTTGCAAACATAAACACAAATATAGAAAAAGGAACAGATGATTCATGTATGATTTTAACTTATTCATTATAATTATTAAACTATTATATAAACATTTATAATTTAATAAAAATTTTATTATACATTTTATTTTCAGCTTTACATTGCAATAAAAATTTGATTGACGCACCGGTAGAACAATCATTTGATGAAACCGACGATGAAGTTTATGTACAATTTCCAATTCAACTAGAAAATAAAACATCGTCAAATTTATCAATTCATAAGCAAGGTACAATGCACAATTTCATTTATTTTGTTATGATTATTTTTTATATATTTTAAAAATATAATATTTTTTAAAAATAATTTTTTTTAGTATTTTTTCAATTTCAAAACTTATGCTGGAATAATATAACGACGTATTTTTTTAGCTCTGCATTGCAATGGAAATGTGCTTGATGCATCCGCGGAACAATTGTTTGATGAAGTCGATGAAGTTAATGCAAACATGCCAATTCAATTGAAAAACAAGGCATCATCATCAAATTCATTGATTAATAAGCAAGGTATAATGCACATAATTTCATTTATTTTAGTTACGATTATATATACCGGGTGAGTTTTTTAACTTGAGACTGCAAAATATCTGAAAAACTAAGGCTTCTATCAAAAAATGTTTCTTACAAAAGTTGTATGGCTGTAAGGGGGCCATAAGATAGTGACAATGATTTGATCTTGGATAGTCAGTTGAAGGTTATGTGAAGGTCACCGTCAATTTCTTAAATAGAACCACCTATTTTTCATTGCATATTCTTGTAGCTTATCTCAAGAGCTTTCCAAAACCCTATAATGAAAAAATACTTTATTATAGGGTTTTGGAAAGCTCTTGAGATAAGCTACAAGAATATGCAATGAAAAATAGGTAGTTCTATTTAAGAAATTGACGGGAACCTTCACATGACCTTCAACTGACTATTTAAGGTAAAATCATTGTCACTATCTTATGGCCCCCTTGCAGCCATACAACTTTTGTAGGAAACATTTTTTGATAGAAGCCTTAGTTTTTCAGATATTTTGCAGTCTCAGGTTAAGAAACTCACCCGGTATATATATATATATATATATATATATATATATATAATATATTTTAGTGTATATGTATAATTCTTTATTTCTATTTCAATTACTTGATTATAGTTCAGAATTATATAGTATATACACACCCACACATTTATTCTTGAACTATTTTTCCTAACATTTTTCTAACACCATTTTTATATTTTTTAATATATTATATAGATTTTATATTTTATTTTTATACATCTTACATCACACATATGTATTTTACATTTTTTATATTTAATATTTTATCTGTACATATATCTTTAATAGTACATATATTGAAAAAATGTGTTTAGAGAACGTCCTGTTCTCTATTCTATACATTTTTTGAAAATACATGCTGTGTTTGAGATATTATAAATATAATCAAAATGTTTTGAATATTTTTTATAGAATCTGAACCGTACGAACGATTTGTCATCCATAAACTTATAAGTTTAGAATTAAAACTAAACTCTATAGAAAGATGTCAAAAACTTATTCTAAAGAAAATTTCAATCGACACTTTTGAAGCCAAAGAAAAAGAAACAATAGATATCTATCAAGATTTACCGTTAAAAACTGAAACTGATTTACAATCAATGGAAAACAAATTAAATAATGATTCATTATATCGAAATGAAATGGTAAGTTAATTGTCTTGTGTATTTTAACGTTACAATATGAAATTATATACAAAAATAAGAAAAATCTAATAAATTCAAAAATAATATAAAACGACTAATGAGAGTCACACAATTGTTAATGGATGTTAAATAATAAAAAGAATAATTAATATTCAGGTATTTGTTTAATGATAAATGTTTTTGGGCCACTCTCAAAACAATATTTAATCTAGAAATAAAAAAATATATAAATTATTATTGAATATGAAGTCAGAACACAAGCGTTAATTTTACAATTAATTAGCATTAAAGAAAGTACACGATTATTTACATATGTTAGAAAATAGTATATAGTAAAAATCTCGGTGCATGCTGGTATAAAAGTATGTCGTTTGATAATTATATATTTTTGTTTAATTTTTAATTTAAATTATTTTTATAAAGAGAATGGTCGGAAATGGGCTGAAACATTTATCATTTAATAAATATCTGAATATTATTAAATTTTTTTTACATTTATAACTTTTGCTCTCATTAGCAATTTTATATATTATTTTTTAAATTATATCATGTCTTTTTAAAGATGTTTTAATAAGTTTCGTAGACTTTTTATTAAAATATTATATAATTTTTAGAATAATTAAATTGATATATATTTACAGTATTTTTACATGTGAATAGATAATTTTATTATATAAAAGTTTCTTATAATATCTATATATTTAATAATTCCATTCTTTGTAACAATTTTAGGTTAAACAATTAGTCCATGTTACATGCCAGGATCTGAGGACTTCTTGTATACGTCTTATGAAAATAATTTTTGCAAATGAACTGGCCGTAAATTATAGTTGGTACGGAGCAAAAAAGAAAGAAAATTTTTCCAAATTGCACATATGCAAAGTTATTATGAGTAAGTAAAATTAAAAACAATTTTTCTATTTTATTATTAGATGCTGTATAATTTCTGCACAAATCAAAAAATATATTTACAAATATTTATAACTTATTTATTTATTAAATTACTTAGAAATGTTTCAATTGTTTTATTATATATTAATAGGTTTAAACGCTCATCTGTATAGATATATTGTAGAAATCAAGTCGAAATTTTTTTTCAATTTTTATAACTTAAAAATAAAAAAAAATTAAAGAAATTTTATTTATCAATAATTCACAAACAATTTTAAAAACTTTTTCAGGTGCAGTAAGAAAATTGCACATTAATGCTACAGATGAAGATTTCAGCTCCAATAAAAATATGGTTGGCTCATGCCAAAGAGCGTATGCAGAGACAAACATTGAATAGTGAAAAGGATTAAACTAGTACTTCGTTGAGTTTTTCTTGTCTTTTCTTGAATCTTTATAATTTATAA